GAAGTAGTTTTTCAGCGTCAGTCTGAGACAGGATATTTCTAACTTCAGAGACACTGAGAAAGTGATTTTAATGTGGTTTGGTGTATTGTTATTGGTCCCTGTGTCATTTGTACATGAGCTGGACCTGAGTGTGAGTGAGAAACTTTACAGCAGCATGTGCCGCCTCTTGTTTTCTACTTCTAGGATGCAGCCATTGATGTGACAGCAGCTCCAGCGAAGCCTGAGCTCACACCTGAGGGGGATGTAACAGCTAATCTGCTCCCCAGTGCTGCTGTGTCCCCACCGCCTGCACACAGCCCAGTGCATAACCCATCCGAGGCTGACGTCACACCTCAGCCAGGTACTCTGAATAAACCATGTTTTTTTCAGCCCTTCTGTATGTGGCGTACTTGAACCTGAAGCCTGTCATTGCCCTTCAGATTCCTCATTAACTGCTGAGTTCGCCCCAGAGGACCAAAGTGTTCCCGTCCCTGCAGCTGCAGCAGCTTCCTCCTCAGCAGCAGAAAGAGGCCAAGATGGCGATGAGGAGAATCTTCTGGAACCTCGCGAGACTGTTGAAGAAGAGAAGATGGGATTGGTCAACCAGGAGGAACACTTGAAGGTGCAGGACCAGGAGAACAAGGACAGGAGAGAGACGGCTGCAGAAACTGGTGAGGTGGATTCATTTAGCACCTTGAGAAGAAGAAGTGGTTGGCTGATGGTGTCATACACAGATTCACCCCCCGAACAAACAGCACTGGTCACCTGGGATAAGATCAGGGGTTGAGTTAAGCCCTGTTTTTGTCCGGTCTGTTGCAGGGAAACAGGAGCAATCTGAACAAAACCCCAGTGCTGAAGAGGAGAGCGAGAAATTCGAAACAGAACATTCCCTCCCTCCTTTTGACCCCAGCAACCCAGTTGGTAAGAAACTGTGTCGTCTGTATTTGTGTAGCATGGCTCACTCACAGCTGTTCAGATGTCCTGACATCTGAGTTTAAACTCTGAGTCAGCAGGATTTATGCATTAATGCTAACATGCACCCCACAGTTAGACCGAGAGTCATTCTGTGTGTCCGTCCACAGGTTTGGAGTTCCTGGTCCCAAAGACGGGTTTTTTCTGTAAGGTGTGCGCTCGGTTCTTCAGCGGCTCCAAGGAGGCTGAAATCAGCCACTGCAAAACCCGCAAACACTACGAGACGCTGCAGGTAGAACACGCAGTTATTAGTCTGGATGTATGAAGACGGAGTTCAGTCTGTGTTTGTTTCCTACTCATTACCAGTCCGAGTGCACCTTTAAATAAGTAGGACGTAAGTCCCAGGTTTGCTAACGTGACCAAAATAAAAGCCTTTCAGGTAAAACACACCTGGCTGAGGCTCATCTTACACTTTTAGCTCTGATTGTAACCAGTTTACACGTCCACACATCTGTTTGATCACAAAGAACTTGTTCTGCTCTAATCACTTTCTTATGGGTTTTGTCCACGTTCTCCTAGAAATACTTGAAGACGTCCAAAACAACGAGCGAGACTGCCAAGCCCGACTCCAGCTGAACGTGCTCCTGATGCTTTGGGTCCAGATTCTCATGTAGATTTAGTAAACCGTCACATTTTAAACTTGAACTGTTAACTGTTTTTTTTGTAATGTTTGAGGTTTAATTGAACACTTTAACTCCATTTCTAAAGACAGTTGCTGTTTGCTTCACAGCGTCGCCACGTCCAAATCTGATGTTTATTTTGGTTCTTGATGGGTGGGGGAGGCTGCATTTGATTGCATCTCATAGATAACATTAGTGATGGAAACTGTGCTGAAGATGAACTCCATCAGGAATCGTACACAATCGAGATGTTTTTAGTGAACTATTGTTTTCCTCCTGAGTCTCATTTCAGCTGTGAAATAAAGATATCAATATTCTGAGCACCCACATCTGTAATATTTGATTGGCCAGATGTGTCTGTAGCGTTTGACCCGATAAATACACGCTGGGGCGATTATTGACAGCACAACTTTTTATTTAGAGACGTGGGTTTATTCGCAGCCACTCCCGCTCTCTACAGCTGTCACGTCCGCTTCCCCTCCGACTGTCACTGTCAACATAAGAAGACACACAATCAATGTCGGAACCCAGCACACCTGTCGACCCCGCCCCTGCGCCGCCCCGGGAGCTCACTGTGTCACCCCTCCTCTGCAGCTGGCCAGAGACCACACCCACGCCACACAGTCCATCACAAGCTGTTATCCAATAAGCAGCGTTTAGGTTTCACAG